AGGAGGCTGAGATCTGAGGATCACAGTTCAAAGCCAGCCCAGGCAGGAAAGTCCGTGAGACTCTTATCTCCAATAAACCACTAGAAAAATGGAAGTGGCGCTGTGGTTCAAGCAGTAGAGTGCTCACCTTGAGCTGAAGAGCTGAGGGACAGTGTTCAAGCCCCATGACCAACAACAACAACAAAAAAATCTCACGGACTTTCCTCCTCAGGCTGGCCTTAAACCTTGATCCTCGGATCTCAGCCTTTTGAATAGCTGGGATTACAGGTGTGAGCCACTGTAGGCCTGGGTACTGTCTCTAAGCTCTTCAGCTCAAGGCTAGCTAGCACACTACCACTTGAGCCACAGTGCCACTTCCAGCCTTTTTTTTTTTACTGTTTATGTGGTGCTGAGGAATCAAACCCAGGGCCTCATGCATGCCAGGCAAGCACTCTGCCACTGAGCCACCTTCCCAGCTCCCTACATAATCCTTTTTTTTTTGTCGGTCGTGGGGCCTCAACTCTGGGCCTGGGCACTGTCCCTCAGCTCTTCAGCTGTAGACTAGCACTCTACCACTTAAGCTTCAGCCCCACTTCCAGCTTTTTCTGCTTATGTGGTGCTGAGGAATCAAACCCAGGGCCTCATGCATGCAAGACAAGCACTCTACCACTGAGCCACCTTCCCAGCCCCCCTACATAATATTCTTAAGGACAGGAGTTGTGAATAGTAAGCACTAGCCTTGCCCTAAAACCTGTCCTTTGCCTTCCCCCATCCAGGTACTTCAAGCACAGTGATGGTAGCTTCTCCAACAAACAGTGGATCTTCTTCTGGTTTGGCCTGGCTGATATCCGGGACTCTTATGAACTTGTTAACCATGCCAAGGGGCTGCCAGATTCCTTCTGCAAGCCAGCTTCTGACCCAGGCAGCTGACCTATGCTATGGGCCCTGTAGACCCTGGGACAGCCAGGGTAGACCAGAAGCCATGCCTGCTGGGGGTGATCCCAGGCTGTTATAGGATGAATGGGGCTTGTTAGCTGAGTGGCCTACAGAGAAATCAGCCCCTGCTCTGCTTAAGTGGGAGAAGCACAAAGAGGGGAGCCAGCCTAAGACCCAGACTTGCTCCAAAGCTGCAACCAGGTGGCCTATTTTCAGCCTAGAGATGGGAGCAGAGGCTTTAAGGGCTCTGCTCAGGGCTAACTGGAGGGGTGGGCCAGTTTCTATGGGCTCTGTACTACATTTTGAGGCTCCTTTGCCCAAAATAGCACCTACATACACACCTGCCTGGTCTTCTAATTCTTTTGGGACTTATGATTTTTTCAGGAGTCTTGATTAAAATGCTAATACCATACATCTGTAATCCCAGCACTACAGAAGGCAGTTAAGAGTTGTAAATTGGAAATCAGCTTGGGCTACATAGCAAGACCCTCCAAATAAAATCCCAACTATATAAACGACAGTAGGATTTTGACCTTTTGAAAGTTGGTTGTTTTGAAGTTCTAGAGATTGAATCCAAGGCCTGGAGCATGGTAGACAAGTGCTTTACCACTGAGGTACATCTATAGACCAGATTTTTATGTGCCAGTCACAGGGCTTGAACTCAGCCTGAGCTTTTATGCTCAGGGCTAGTGCTCTACCACTTGAGCCACGGCTCAATTTCCAGCTTTTCTGGTGCTTAACTAGAGATGAGTCTCACAAACTTTCCTGCCTGGGTTGGCTTCAAATCCTGATCTTCAGATCTTAGCCTCCTGACTAGGATTACACGTATGAGCCCCTGACACCCAGCCAGAGAGCCAAAGAACTACAGGAACTCTCAGAACAGGGAAATAATTATGGGAGAATCAAGGTCCTCTCACAGTTAAATCCCAACCAGATAGCTAGCAAGAAAGCCAAGAGTGGGGCTGGGAAGGTGGCTCAGTGGTAAGAGTGCCTGCCTAGCAAGCATGAAGCCCTGAATTCAATCCCAATACAAAATAAAAGCAAGGCAAAATCAATCCGAGGCTATGGTAAAGCATCCCATGGAAAAAACAGCAACAAAGCCAAATGTGGATAGAAAAAGTTTATTTTGGAGGACTGTGTGTCTGGTGTTTGGGTAGGCACTCACACCTCACCAGGCCAACCATATAGCTGCAGAGATGATGGCAGCAGGTGGGACACTGGCCACTGCCTGCTTCACCCTGCCCATCCCAGAGCAGACTATGGTTGCTGTGCTCTCAAGGTGGGCAATAAAACTGGTACAGTTTGCTCTGGCATAACCTGAGAATCCAAGTAACCTCTACAGTGCCAAGTTCCACTGCTCCTCAAAAGGGGGACCTGATCCCTGTGTCAACACACATACCCTCATGCTATCTCTTAAAAACATCACAGAGCTTAGCTGTATCTGCCATGTTCTTATTTTTGTTTCTTTTTTGGTACTGGAGATCAAACCCAGGACATTGCACTTGCTAGGCAACCATTTTGCCACTGAGCTACATTCCAGCCCATTCTGTCATGTTCTTTAAAAGGGACTTTATACATTTGTTCACTTGCAAATCTTTCTCTGTCTCCCACTGCCAGTAGTTGGCATCCCAACTCAGCCTTACTTCCTTCTTAGGGACTCTTTCCCCCAAGATACTCAGAGAGCAACTGACTTCAACTCTCCTCTGAACAAACAGAAAGAAAGAAAGAAAAAGAAAGGAAGGCCGGGCGCCAGTGACTCAGACCTGTAATCCTAGCTACTCAGGAGGCTGAGACCTGAGGATTGCAGTTCAAAGCCAGCCGGGGCAGTAAAGTCCCTGAGACTCTTATCTCCAAT